ACGCTCTTCGACTTCATGCAATGGGATGGCAGCAAGAAAAACTGCTGTCCCAACGACCCCAACAAACACGAGGACGATAAAGCAATGTCCAACAAGAAGAACTCCTACCTCGAAACACTCGGGATGATGAGGAGTCCGACCGCGAGATATTCTTGAATTTTCAATGTAGTTAGGGAATAAGCGTTGCGAGAAATTTCGGATTTGATGATTTGGATTGAAGAGAACATGATCCCCCCAAGATGTATAGTTTCAGAAGCAGGCAATGGTAATAAAAATTTGTACCTAAAGCCCTGTTTCTTTGATTCCATTCTCCTAATGTAAAAGTTGAATGTTCTTCCAGAGAATGAAGCACTGTTTACTTGAAATCTAACATCAGAAATTTGCAAAGACAATGCAGAATATACATAAAGGGCTATTGCACTATTCAGAAGTTTCAAGAACAGATGTTCCAAAGCAATACATCCCAGAAATAGAAGAAGAAATCCATACATTACATGGTGAATACATATATATATATAGAGAGAGAGAGAGAGGGTTTAGAGCTTGCCACGGGGACCGAGCTTAGGCTTCTCTTGAGGGCCTTTCTTGATGGGAAGAACGTCGTCAGTGGCGTTAGCGCTGACATAAGCCAGCATCGAGCCTCCGCCCAAAATCAAGAACTTGAGAAGCAATCCTCTCTTTGTGAATGGAGCGGCAAATGTCTCGAAGAACTTGCTCTGCAAGTCAAAAGAGATCATTTCAGACATAATTCAAAAGCTGTATGCAATCTCAGACCAAATCTATGCAGAGACAGACAGTGAACCTGAAGAGGGTTGTAAGGAGAAGGAGCATCAGAACCATATAAGTCCCATTGACCTGTCGTGTTTCCCAAATCTTCCAAGTCAAAGTACACACTTTTGTCCCCATACTTAGCCACCACAGCACCGGCTCTGCTATTACAAAGACAAAAAAAAAAAAAACTACAAATCTTATGCCCTATTTGTGCCATTACAAATCCAACAAAATCTTCATTTCTACTTGATAGATTATGCCGTTAATAGCATTTAACAATAGGATTCGACTTAAGGAAAGAAGATGATCGAGGGAACGTGAAATATATAACCTATGGTTTCATTATGAAAATAGAAGCATGGACCTTGTGGATATGGGTCTGAAGCTTTGGCGAGAGGGCTTGATGAAGAGCTTGGTTCCGGCGAGGGAGCTTCCGGCGAGGCCGTTTACGGTGGCGGCGGATTGAACGGCGGCGACGGTGGCAAGAGACGCCATTGGCTTCGATTCAAAATTATTGAAAATTGTTTGGATCTATGCCTTTGGATTGCGTATATGATGATTTCGGACATTGGCAATAAGGGGTTTTGATCCTTTCGCGTGGATCTTGTCCTGACACGTGGCCAATTGGTCTCTCCGATGATATTGGAAGTGCCATTTAGGATATGCCACGTGGACACAACTCAGATAAGCCTATCCGTTATGTTGTATGTTGTATGATATTCCAAGGTGAACTCGTTTCAATTCATTTTTTAGGTGCGATTTCTTACAACAAGTACAAATCAATAAGAAAAATTGTTAGAAAAATTAAAAAAATAAACTAATAATTTTTTTTAGAAAATCGCATATAAATATTTAAATTTTACAAAAATCTCAGATAAATATCTAAACTATAAAATTTTATATAAATACCTGTACTTTTCTAAAATTCTACGTAAATACCTAAACTTCTGAAAAATTCTCAAAAAACCCAAAATTCGTTAATGACATCATCTATTTTTATTTAAAAAATATCTGAAATTTAGGTATTTATATAAGATTTTTAAAAGTTCAGATATTTATATGAAAGTTTTATAGTTCAGATATTTATGTGGGATTTTCATAAAAGTTTAGATATGTATATTCTATTTTTCTTTTTTTCAAATTTTTTTTTATTAGAACTTAAAATTACAATTTACAATCTAATTTTGAAGATACTTCTGTGCATTAATATGCCTCTAAAGATTAGTTTTCAAAAGATGTATTAATTGGTTATGTTGTCTTGAGTGAGAGTCTGGTTTAGCAGACATTTTCTGCTACTCTGTAGCTATATAACATGTCGAGTTTTTCCTGTTTTTATAGCTTTTATAGAGTATACTAGATTTGGGGATCATCACTTTCTTTTTCGCATCTGAGTATTGCTTCTGTATATAAAGGTATTGTATATGAGTTTATGGAATACAAAATTTTTTTTTAACTTGCTCTCCAAATTCTGAATATCAAAATGGTATCAAAAGCCTGAAGCTCCTTTTTTCTCTGTTCTCTTCCCTGGAACTCTGCCATTGTTGCTCCTTTCTCTGCATCATGTCGGACGAAACCCCACCTCCTTCATCTTCTGCGACCTCTTCTCAACCCTTCACCCCAGAAAACTTATCCTTCCCTAAACTAGATACCTATTCAAACACACTCTTCCTTCACCCTGTTAATTCTTCCAGTCTTTCGCTTGTCCCTGAAAAACTGGTTGGTGAACCGAACTACAACCTCTGGTCCAGATGTGTGATCAAGGCTCTCATTACCAAGAATAAGTTGGGGTCTATGGCGAGACTCGCAACCTTTTGTCGATCACCCTGACTTTGGTGCCTTGTCCCGTTGTAATGCTCTGATGGCTACCTGGTTAGCCAACTCCGTATCCTCAGACATCGACAACCAGATCTTGTACCTCGATGATGTTCACTCTATCTGGAAAACTCTGGAGACAAGGTTCAAACAAAGTAATATCTCAAAGATTTTCAGTGTGGAACAACGCATTGATAATCTGCGACAAGGATCTCTCGATCTTAACTCATTTTTCATGAAGCTTAATGCACTATGGGAGGAACTCAACAACTACGAACCTTACCCGATTTGTTCCTGTGGCGGCTGTTCTTGTCAAGCCAACCCCAAGCTTCTCGAAACCTTGAACGCCGTAACGTGATAAAGTTCCTTATGAAGCTTAATGACTCGTACACTCAGACACGTCGTCATATCCTCATGCTTAATCCTCTGCCGAATCTACCAAAAGTGCACAATCTTATCTCCCAAGAGGAGCATCACCGAAACTCTATTTAGAGTTTACTTGACTATGTTGTTTTCCAGGTTAGTTCTACTATCCCTCATTCTAAGCCATCTTTTTCACCCTCGGCCTCTATCAAAACTCGGCTGCAGTGTAGTCACTGTGGTCTCCTTGGTCATACTGTTAGCCGTTATTACACACTTTATGACTACTCTACTTCAGTCTCGTGGCCTCCCATCAAACAAACCCCCTCTTTTACCCAAACCCCGATCATACACCTCCATCAACTTGGTCACCAAAGCTCCTATCTCCTCTGGCTCTGGATCGTCTGTTGGTCCCTCTTTTTTTGACCCCATGGCGCAGGTCCAAGTTCTGTTCGACTAGTTTTAGTCGCGTCTTAAGGATCTTGGCATCACTTCCACCGATTCAGTCTTGACAGATCAAACACCCTCTCCTCCACCTTCTTTTTCGCCAGGTATATTTTCTTTACCCTCTGTTACTTTTTCTGCCCTTCAACCCTCTTCTTCTTTTTCCCGCTCTATTTGGATACTTGACACAGAAGCCATATCTGTTGTGATTCTCGCTTATTTCAGGAACTTCACTATATTTCTCTTATCACTATAACTCTTCCTAATGATGATACGCTGTCAGTTTCTTATTCTGGTTCTGTTTCAATATCCGAGTTGATTACTCTTGAATCTGTATTGTATGGTCCCTCATTTCGTTTTAATCCCTTGATTATTGGTGCTCTGACTCGAAACACAACACTCACTGTCTGTTTTTCCAAAAACTCTTACCTGATCCAGGACCCTACGCGGGGTTTGACGATTGGGAAGGGTAGTCAGTCAAACAATCTTTACACACTGATGGTGCAAGATCCTTCATGTGATGCATCTTCATTTCCGGCATCTCTTTGTACAACTATTTCAGTCTCTTCCGACGATCTTTGGCATTTATGCTTAGGACACCCATCTACATACAAAATTTAGGGCATTCCGACATCTTCTCAGCCCAAATTTACAGTTTCTTCTGGTTCTTCTAATGGCTGTAATATTTGTCCCCTTACTAAACAATCTAGACTTTCTTTTCCTTTTGGTGGTCATCGTTGTTCTACAAATTTTGATGTTATTCATCTTGATGTTTGGAGACCATTTCATGTAGAAAGATATGATGGCTATAAATATTTTTTATCTTAGTTGATGATCACTCTCGTCTCACTTGGGTATACCTTTTATAGTCGAAATCTAATGTTCTTTCTAAATTATCAGATTTCTTGCTTTATGTTCAGACCCAATTCAATAAAACTGTTAAACAAGTTCGTTCGGACAATGCTCCTGAACTTGCTTTCACCAAACTTCTTCAGATCAAAAGCATCCAACATCAATTTTCATGTCTCTATACACCACAACAAAATTCTGTAGTTAAAAGAAAACATCGCAATATCTTAAACGTTGCTCGAGCTTTATTATTTCAGTCTAAGTTACCTCTTCTCTATTAGAGGGAATGCATTAAGACTGCGGTTTATCTTATCCATAGAACCCCTTCTCGACTTCTCGCCAACAAAACACCCTACGAGATTAGAGGGAATGCATTAAGACTGCGGTTTATCTTATCCATAGAACCCCTTCTCGACTTCTCGCCAACAAACCCCCCTACGAGCTAGGGGTGGGCATTTTTACCCGAGACCCGCGGGTTTCCGGGTACCCTATCTCGCGGGTACCCGGGACTCATTATCCGTGAGATAGTGAGATACAGATCGGGTTTCGTGAGATAGAAAACCCGAGTTTCGGGTTCGGGTTCGAGTTTAATAATTTCACCACGGGTTATCTCGCGGGTACCCGGGAAATTAGAAAATTACAAAAATACCCTTATTATTTAATACACTTACAAAAATAACCCTAACCCTAATTTACTAATGAAGAGCCATCCTGTGTCACTTTGTCTCTCTCTCATTTGGGTTTTGCGGCCTCTTTTCTGCAGAAGCGAAATCGATCACTTCGTCTCTCCAATCTCCACCACCGTGTTCGTCGTTCGCCGTTCACTGTGTTTGTTGTTTGCCTTCGGTCTCTCCTTCTCCGTCTTGCGAGCCTCTTTTTCCTCATCGCGTGTCTCTGTTCGGTGTGTTTGTTTGTTGTCTTCGTTCGTCGTTCTCTTGCTGTCTCTCTTCGCCGTAGGTTCGGTTTGATTTTGTAAATCTTTAGTTCCAACTTTCACAGATAAGTATGTGTAGCTTGGATTTTGTGAAACTCTAGCTTTTTTGATAGGCGTAGAATAATCCAGACCTAATTGATGAAGCTTTATGGCAGTGTGAAAAGATAATGATAACATTCAGCCTTAAATGTAAAAGCAAATGAGAACGATACTTGATATATTGCTGGTAGTACATGAATCAGTTCTTGACATGTATGAGCAAATTCCGTGATTGTGCATCAGTAGATGAATTACTACGCTCGGGTTCGGGTCTCGCGGGTACCCGATCTCGGGTTTCGGGTATCCGAGTTTCGGGTACCCGGGTTTCGTGAGATAAAGACCGAGACATTTTGACCAAAAACCCGACGAGACCGAGATCAAGATAAGGATACTCTAAAATGCCCGAGTACCCGCCCGTGCCCACCCCTACTACGAGCTGCTTACAATCAAACCACCCACCTATGCCCATCTTCGAGTTTTCGGATGTCTTTGCGAGAGGCATGGACAATGGGCGGCTCCTGACGAGCTTCTGAGTAGGGGGTACATGGATGAATCGACCGCACCAGAATGAGAGGATCCGAGGGCTGTGTAGGTATGAGACTACACAGTCTAAGGTAACTTAAATGAATTAATTGAGCTATTCATAGCAACAAGATGCATCTACCTTTTCGGTTGTCCATCTCGAGAGAACTCCAAAGTTAAGTATGCTGGTCTCAGAGTAGTCTTAGGATGGGTGACCTCCTGGGAAGTACTTTCCGGGATGTGTGCGAGTGAGGACAAAACACACTAAAAGGCCTCGTATTGGTGTGTGGGGACAACTCTATCATTCCGTATCGGCCTCGGGTCGTTATAATTGGTATCAGAGCCGGTTCTCTCCCAGTACGGTGTGGTTCGAGGACGAATCAGGCGAAAGCTGGTGGGCCTGTGACAATCCAGATACCGTAGGACGACGGAGAGTGATCGCCGGTGCGAGAGGCATGGTTAATGGGCGGCTCCTGACGAACTTCTAGGTGGGGGTACAGGGATCACTACAAAAAAATGGTCATTTCTAACGGGCAAATCCGTTGGAAATGACTAAATTTTTGTTGGAAATTAATGTTTCCAACGGATTTCTAACGG